CTTAGAATCCTGAATGCCCATCCGCAATATTTCCACACCGAGTTTATTACTTAAATGGGAACATTTTTGTGAAATATGTACACAATTCTGCTTATATGTGAGATAAATTGATTTACTAAGTTGCGCACATGGTTTAGCTGAGTGAAACAAATGAAGCTAACTCTAAATTTAGAGTTTAAACTCATCTACAAAGCTTCTTAAAGTCAGTTAGCCATGCTTCAATGTGTTTACATTGAATTGGTATAATCTGGGCATGTTCACCTGTGGGTAGCATGAACGTGCTTGTTTCCATAGAAGTTGCGTGCGGTAGCCAGCGAAATTACACAGCCATGGAGTGATTGAACAAAACACATGTAGAATAACACAAAACTCATTTCCAAGGCTTCTTAAAGCGGGTTAGCCATGTTTCAATGTGTTTACAATGAATTGATACAGTTTGGGCAGGCTCACTTACGGGCGGCATGAATAGGGTTGTTTCCATGGGGGCTTTATGCAATAGCCTCTGAATTACAAAGCCATGCAGTGATGGAACAAAACGCATGGAGATAACCCCAAACTCATTAAAATGCTTGTTAGAGTCCTTTAGTGATGCTCCAATGTGTTAACAGTAAATCGATAGAGTTTGGGTATGTTCACTTTGTGGGCAGCACGAACAGGGTACTTTCCAAGGGGGCCCATGCGGCAGCCAACAGACTTGCACAAGCATGGTGCGACTGACCAAACCAAACGAAGATGACTCCAAACTCATGTACAAAGCTTCTTTATGATTGTTAGCTATATTTTAATGTGTTTATAGTGAATTAATAGAGTTTTGGTATGTTCCCTTGTGAGGGCATGAACGGATTTCCATGGTGACCACATGTCGTAGCCTGCGGTATATGATCACAGGGCGATGAAGCGAACCACAGACGGATAACCAGAACTCATTTGCAAGTTTTTTTGAGCGATTTAGCCATATTTCTATGTGCTTAAAATGAATTGAAAGAGTTGACGCATGGTCACGTATGGGCGACGAGAACGGGGTAGCTTCCATGGGGGTGCAGGCGGTGCCTAGCGAAGTCGCACAACCATATAGTACATGAGCCAGACTCTTGCAATTGAATTGAAATTAATGTACAAGGCTGTTTTCAAGCGGCCCATTCATGTCTCAACACCTTCACAACAAATCTTGAGCTTGGCATGTTGACTTATGAGCGGCATGAATGGGTATATCCGGTAGCGAAGGGGCTGGTGCTCAGGAAAATCGCACGGCCATGGAGCAGCCCAGCGAGAAACATGCAACTAATTCCAAACTCGTGCACAACACTCTTTTCATCATATACCAATGTGTTTTCAGTGCAGCAAAAGAGTTTGGACATGTCCGCTGCAGGTTGACTTATGCACGGAGTTGACATAGTGGTGCATGGGGCGGCCATGGAAATCCTGCATCCATGGAATTTGCCAGCGAAACATATGCCAGTTAAATGGAAGGGCTTCTAACTGGACATGTATGCATCATTGATTTGTTTGTTTTCTTTCCTTTCCACACTTCGTTGCTTGGTTGTTGCCATATGGTCAGTTAAAACTCTGCATGTTCTCTACTATGGTTGGTGTTGGGAAAAAACACCAATACATTGGAGATGCAAAAACTTGTTTTCACTTATTCTTTTGCCCCTTTCTGGAGTGCCCACACTATGGGGAACCTGCTCTCTTTTCGGCCCTTTAGGTTGTTCTGTGGGGCGATAGCTTTTCCATTGTGTCACCCATTGCATCGTGTGCTACAATTAGCTTGCTTGCAAAATGTGACCACTGTTGTTTCGCAGTTGTGCGCATTGCAAACATAGGTGCAATAGCTTGCGCATCAATGCAATTGTGTTGGCTTGAGCGACGTAGCTTGGTTCCAAGCAAGCACATTCAGCACCTGCTCCCATTCACCAGAGGACAGTGGCACCTGTGCTCATCTATGTGTGCTGGAAATTCGCAGCACCCCAGGCTCACCGTGAAAAGTATGTGGCGCTGAGTTCCACATTTGGGAACCGTGGAAGAATGTGCTTGCCTTTTTAGATGTGACGTGGAGCTGCAAGCCAGGTGCTTAGATTTTGAATAGCAAAAATTTCTTGCAGTGCAATGTGCCATTGCCTTGCAGGAGGTGACCACAGTGCAGTGCGCCAGTGTCTGTTGCAGGCTTGCCGCGAGGTATGCATTGATTGCAATTTACCTTCAGCAGCGCTTTGTGCTGGCACCTGCATGCTGGCACATGCATGGGAAACTGCAAAACGCTCGTCTAGGTGGCCAATAAATCCTGTGGACATGCTCAGTGCCAGAGGGCAATGCCTTTTCAAGCTACATAGGCGGAGACATGACGTTCTCATAGTGGCACAAGTCGCGGTGTGCAAATCTCATTAGCAACAACAAGGAATGACACAGAACAGAGGCAATGATCACAGATTCTGTTACATCTCTTCCCATAGTCCAATAACAATCTTCCACAGGACAGTGGGCCAGCCACATCCAGTGTCGCCGTTGCATTGGCAGCCTCAAGAAAGGACGAGGCATTCCGACCTTCAGCTGCTGGTCCAGGCACGGAACACATGAGCAACTGCAAAGCCAACACACAAGGATCAATAACGCTGATGGTGCATTGACACGCAAGGCAACTGGGTGGAGGTGCCTTGGTAACTGCTGCTAGCCCGAATGCCAAAACGCACACCACACGCACGCATGCACATATGAACGCATGCACACGCACATGCTCTGTGTGTGGCCAGGTGCAAGGGCCTTGTTTTATCAGGTGCTTTTGACGATTGTCACAAACGGAGTTCACACAAGCATGCACCGTCTTCACCCTGCTGCAAGAGCATCCATACAGAATTCAACGCTGAGCCATCCGTACCCCATTTGCAGGCCTATAGCGCCTGCAATATTGGTGGAAAAGGAGGGGCTTCGCCTCGTTAATTTGTAATGCCATCTTACCCCATTGCAAGTGGCATTTCATCACAGATAAGTAGTCAAATGCAGTTCCCACAGTCCAACATTCGCCCTGTAAACGACTGCAGGCCCAGGCGAAGTAAAGAACGACTCATCTGCTTCTGGTTGAATAAAGGACAATGCACTTTAGCCATAGCATGGGATTGACCACAGCAGCCCTGCCATAATGTGTTGTGCTGGCTTACTGCAAGCGATCAAGCACACGAAAGTTTCGAAGGGTCCCCACCCAACCGTCTGAATGTGAACTAACACTGTTCTTTCACTGTCATTGCCAAGCAATGACTATCACTAGAAGGACCCCCTAAGTTTGCTGTTGTGAGTCCACACAAGCTACAAAATGCTTGGAACCCAAAGAATCTCTGCCACCACTGCTTTTGTACAGCTTCTGCAACATTTTGGGCACCATTCTCTCTTGTGTCTTCGTGCTGAACTGTGCTCTTGAGCTTGATAACTAATGGTGCACAGTGCTACACCCTCGTCCCTTCCCATTATTGGCCATTGATCAGCCAAACTACGATACACTGCACCCCAACCTGCACTTGGCCTTTGCCTTGGAAGTACGTCTGCCCATGCGAGCTTCAGCAACAACAACGACCTGAACAATGCCTTTTGGTGGGTCGCCCACAACCCAATGAGGCTGTGCCCCAATCGACATATTAAGAGCGTGGCGTAGCAATCACCACACCCACCACAATCAACCAACAAGCATCCTGCAGACAAAAATATGCTTGCTTGTTTGAGCTGCATTTGGGAACTAAAGTCTCTGTGTTGTTGCATTACAATTGGCAATGTTGCAATCAAGTTCAATACTGTTCGTGTGTTGTGCCTCTGCAAAACATCTGATCCCACCTGCAGATGCCAGGAAGGTCGCGCAACATGGACAACAGCAATGGCAAATTTGTGCATCAAGCACCTCCCTATTGGAGCTGCACACAACGGTGGTGGCACAACGTATTGTGATTTTATGTCGTTGTTGGAAGAATCCCTGTGTGGCCAATGTATACTCACAAGTGACAGAGGCAGGTGCCGCCGGGGACCTTTGTAGCGCAAACGAATTGCAGCAGGTGAGCGAGTGCTACGCACCCAAACACCAGCCAGGGCAGGCCGCATCAATGGCAGCAAACAAGGTAGCAATCCCCTCTGATTGCTGCCCCCCCCCCCCACCCCACCCTCAGGAAAACCCATATGCACCTTTTCTGCACCAATCCCCCACATCGCCACTGCGCACCTCTCCTCGGCGCCGATCCAGCCCCTTCCCTGACCTTAACCGGCGCTCCTCGCCCTGCGCCGATACCCCAATCCCAAACCCCAGCCCCGCGCGCCAATCCGGCCCTTCCCCGCCCTAGTTCTGCGTTCACCCAACGCCATGACGGCCCATTCCCCTAGAACCATTCGGGGAGGCCGTGCCGAGCGCCAGGTGCGCTGAGAGGCACCTGGCAGTGAGTGCGTGGGACCGCGCGGCACCTCAGATGGCCCATGCATTTCCACGCACCTGCGCAAAGCGCCGCGGCGATGCCCAGCCACCTGCCCGCCGCCCTTAGAGAGGAATCTCCAGCCCAATGGGAGCCTTCAGCGCCTCTCTCCGTGGGCGCCGCCGTCGCCACGTTTCGCACACCGCGGGCCCGCTGGCGGCCGCCCACTGGATTGGCGCACGGAAGCCACGGATTACTACCCTGCGGGATTCCCGCACGCCCTGGCGGCTAAAGTACTAGGGCGTGCGGGATTCCCGACGGGATTCCCGCGCGGGACAAGGCAGCCAACTTGGATGCGCACAATGCATCCAAGTTGGCTGCACCCAGGAAATATGCACGAGACACATGTGTCAACGGAAGAGGAAGTGGACGACAGAGGGACATAAACGTTCTTCGATTCCCGCCAAAGTTCCCCCGCCTACTTATTTCCTTGCGGCCACGCCCACAAGCCCTCGCAAACACCCCCATCGACGACCATCTCCTCACCGCCGCCGGACGTCCCCCGCCCCTCTGGCCCCCGCCGCTTCCGGCCGACACCCGGCGCGCCTCGCCGCGGGGCCCATGGGCCCGCGGCGCGTCTGCTGGGTCGTGGTCCTGGGCGACTTCGGGCGCAGCCCGCGCATGCAATACCACGCCCAGTCCCTGGCCTCCCACGGGAACGACGTCCACGTCGTGGCCTTGCCGGGCTCCCGGCCGATCTCCTCCCTGGCGGGCAATCCCAGGGTCAAGATCCACCCCGTGGTGGCCGGCCTGCCGCCCTGGGCGGGCCTGGCCCCGCTACGCGAAACGGTTGTTGGGACTGCGCGACTGGGTCGCTTTTAACGGTTGAGATCGCCCGGTATCAGCGCAGCCGTGTGTTTTGACCCGTGTTTCTGCGCGGCGTGCCCCTGATTGTGGACTGGCACAACTTCGCGTACACTCTGATGGCGCTGGGCATGGGGGCCAGGCACCCGCTTGTGCGGCTGGCGGAGGCGGTGGAGAGGGCCTTCGGCCGCACGGCGCGTTACAGCTTCTGCGTCACTGCGGCGATGGCGGGGGAGCTGAGGGCGGGGTGGGGCGTGGAGGCCGTCGTGCTGCATGACCGGCCGCCGGACAGGTTCCGCCCGGCGGGGCCGGCGGAGGCGGCGGAGCTGTTTGGTAAACTTAGGAATTGCCTGATGGAGGGGATGCACAAGGGGGACATCTGTCGAGCCTTCCTGTCACGTGGATCGCATCCAAAGAAAGGAGGATCTCAGGAAGCGGGGGAAGAAGGCGGGGGTGAGATTTGTTACGAAACAAAAGAGACATGTTCTGCAAAAGAAGCCGCTGGTGCAAATGGTGGATCTCAGCAGGTTGGGGGGGAGGGCGGGGGTGAATTGGAAGATGGGGCGGGGCGGGAGGGGGTGGGGGGGAATGGGGATTTGGAGGAAAGGACGCTGGTGACATGCATGGGTGGGGCTGGGCTGGTGGCCCTGCGCGAAGACCGGCCGGGCATAGTCGTCAGCAGCACAAGCTGGACGCCAGACGAAGACTTTTCCATCCTTCTGGAGGCAGCCGGCATCTATGACTGCCAATGCGGCCCCGGGCACCCACCCCTGGTGATCCTGGTGACTGGGAAGGGGCCCCTGAGGGAGGCGTACAGGGCGAAGATGCAGAAAATGGAGTTTCGAAACGTGGCCTTCAGGACAGTGTGGCTTGAGCCGGACGACTACCCCATCCTTTTGGGGTGTGCTGACTTGGGAGTGAGCCTGCATACCTCCTCGTCAGGCCTGGACCTGCCCATGAAAGTGGTGGACATGTTTGGATGCCATCTGCCTGTGTGCGCCGCTTCCTACAGCTGCATCTCTGAGCTCGTCTCCGATGGTGTCAATGGCCTGCTGTTCTCAGGGGCTCAGGAGCTGGCACAGCAGCTGCTGTACTTGTTTGAGGGTTTTCCCCACGACCTGTCAGATGGGGCTTTGAGGTTGGTGGGGATGAGGAGGGCACTGCAGGCCATGGAGGGCTTCAGTTGGACGGAGAATTGGGACAGACATGCCCTGCCCGTGTTTCAGGCTGCGGCTGGGGCAAGATAGCCATCGATGACAGAGCTGGAGCAGGACTGCCGTTCCCGTTCCTGGGCTGTTGGTGGGGATGCAGCCAACGCTGCACAAAACTCACAAGCACCATCACCATCGAATTGTTGATGGTTGCAAGGTCTCCCAGCCCGCTGTACATTGTGCATCCCTGGAAGCACATGCTGAAGACCTTTGCGCTGGCCCAGGAGGGCCAAATGGCATAAGCAAAGTACGCTTGCCACGGAGAAACTGGCGGGAAGCTCGTCACAGGGCCGATTCGCTGCTGCTCTGGGCGATTGAATCGTCAAAAGATGGTCCTTGTGTGTATCTGCCGGTTGTCCTGCTGGATTTGCCAGCTATGGCTGCCTTGTTTTCAGCTGTTGTATTTTAGGGACTAAACAATCATTGGTGCCTTTGTATACATGTGTAGAATTCCATGCTCTCGTGTTCATACCTGCGAGAAGCACTGCGTGTGTGGCACAGAATCCAGTGCGGTTTGGCTCGTCTTGGGCTCGAAAATCCACAGTAGAGCATTTCTATGGGCTGGGCATCGAAAGGGAAGCAAACAGGGATGGCCAAGCTTTCAGGCAGCGTGTGCTGATCCAAGGCGGTGGACAGACTCCCATGGACATAACCGTAAATTGCCCAATCTGGGCAAATCTGTGAGACATGGGAATCGAGAAGCTGGAACGACAAGCACCTATCCCCGGGCATGGAGTCCCCCTTTTTGCCAGTCTGCAAGAGGGCTATTAAAAATCTGGACAGGGGAGCTTCACAGAGTGACTTCGGCACGCTCTGCTTTAGCACGGCGCTGAATATTCGTGCTGAATCCGTTGTTAATATTCCTTTGAATGAAAGTAGCATTTGTTGAAAGATCGGCTGCTTGCTGGACACAGCAAGGAAAAAGACCTTTAGGAACTCAAACAAGCCCCTTTATGTTCTGGCGGTCACGGCGCCATTGTGAGCCCGTTTTCGCCTTGTGTTAGACCCCCACCCCCATCCACCCTCGCCCCAACCAACCACGAAAAATTCGAGACCTTATCCCGAAAACTCAATCATGTTCTCCACAAGAATGAACCAACCAACAAAACGCACACAAAGCCAAAAAAAACTGGTCGCAGCCGAACGACTGAACCACCGATAGCATCCTGGCCGCCCCGCAGAGGTGTGACCTCACCCCCCCCCTCCCCCACACAGGCGCACGCAGCGCCCTCCCGCCCAGCCTCGCCAGCGTCGACTTCAGCCCAATCCCCCCCCTCTCTCCACGCCCCGCCAACGGCCCCGCCGCGGCGCCTCCCACTCGCGCCTCAACGCCGCCTCCTTAGCCCTCCCTCTCCGCCCGCCCCCTCCCCTGCCCACCCCAGCTCCTTGTCGTCGACCCCAGTCGCCAATCAGCAGCGAGGGACCATCTCGGCCATCGCCGTGAAGGGGCGCTGCCCTCCCAGAGTGAGTGCCGCGCCTCCTCTGCCTCGGGCAAGGCGCTTTGATCCAATCCGGTTCCAATCCAGGAGTTGCAATCCGGTCGTCGCGTGCGGAATCAGTCCCGTTGTGTCATCGAGGGAAAATGCGTTGAGCGGCCTGTGCTTGGATTGACCGACGACCGCGAGCGGCGCATCGATCGGTGCTTATCTGTCGCCGGGGTCCTTTCCAGGCGAGGGCGCGGCCTGCCGCGGGGGCGCTTCGAGGATGAGCAAGACCGACGTGAGCAAGGAGCAGGACCGGCGGCACAAGAGGATACTGGCGGACCTGCTCAAGCACGAGGGCAACAAGACCTGCGCGGACTGCGCGGCGCGGGGGCCCACGTGGGCGAGCGTCAACCTTGGCGTGTTCGTGTGCCTCACTTGCTCGGGCATCCACAGGTCGCTGGGCGTGCACGTCTCACAGGTGGGGTAGGGGAGCCAATGCCGCTGGCTTTTGCGTTTGCATGTTTTGGCGGCAGATGTTGTGGAAGGGGGTGGCGACGTAGGCATCGCGTTGCCGCCCCGCCCCTGGCTAACGACCGTTTGGTTCTCGTTGGATCGTTGTTGCCGGTGTCGTTGGATCGCTGTTGTCGTCGAGGCTGGTGAGGTTTCAACTGACGCGAATGTGGTGCTGCAGTCTCCGCCTACGGAGACCTGAGCCTCATCTATTCTGGCGGGAAAAGAGTGTTTGAGGGGCCTTAACCAGGGGGGAGGACGACCTTTGGTTGAGATCCCTTTTCCTGTTCATGTTCTGCTGCAAATCAGTCTTCACCCTGTGGGGGTTGGGGTAGAGGGCATCTTTCATGGACGGGATTTTACAGCGGGGCCGTGCTGTGGGCTCTGAGGGTGGGCATCAAAGCGCTGGGAGTGCTGCAGGCAGATTGCGCAGCTGCAGATCGTCTGCATCGTTGTGGATCAGGGCTGCTGCCATGTGTTTGGTTTGGGATGCACTGCAGCAGGGTTGGGCGCCCCACACATATCTGCACAACAACAAAGAACAAGGACAAGGCCAGCCGGATGCCATTGTGATCCAAGGAAGCCATGTGACTGTGTTCACAAGAATTCTGCCTTTCGATCTCTGCACAATAGTTTGGGCATTGTTGGCAAAAAATCACAGAGATTCCACAAGATCAACATTTGAGGGATTCCTGGTGGCCTAGTAAACTTTTGAGCTTGGTTTGTTGCCACTGTTACCATGATTACTTGGTGGTTCGATGCTGGATAGCACTGTGTCTCCATCTCATACTGGGAAGGCTGCAATGTGTCCACAACCTGAAGCCCGTTCCCTAAGTTGCCCAGCACTGTTCAGCTGGGAAAACCAGAGAAAAGAAAATGCGAAGAGAGACCTCTACTGTTGCGTGACATTGGTGTAGACAGGCAGCTATATGCTGCGTCGCACAAGTCCGAAATATGGCTCGTTCCTGACCAACGAACTCCGTGCTGGTGCGCTTTCACAAGCTGAAATCGCCCAGCACATGTTGGAACAAGGCACCCTGCTGTTATTTGGTGTGTGAATGTATTAGTTATCTGGTTGGTGCTGTCAAACCTTTCGATATATCCATAATCTCGAATTCTGATTTGAATGGGGCTGGTGCTGGCTCCCACCAGTACATGGGTTTGTTGCAGCTGCACAAGCTATCTGATGTCAGTGGTCCCTGTGCCCCAGGTGAGGTCCACTACCCTTGACACATGGCTCCCCAAGCAGGTGGCCTTCCTGTCATCAATGGGCAACCTGAGGGCAAACAAATTCTGGGAGGCCCGGCTGCCCCCAGACCATAGGAAGGCAACAGGGCGCCCGCTGGAGGACTTGGCAGGTTTCATCAGGGAGAAGTACATTAGGCGTGCCTTTGCATCCTCAGAGGTCGCAGCTCCCACCATGGACAACTACACAACCCACCCATACACCGGCACGCAGGACGCCACACCGCAGGAGGTGCCCCGCCCGATGACGCCCCAAATAGACAGGCCCAAGACGTATGACCTTCCAAAGAGGTCAGGGACGCCCCCTCCCCGTGCGCCCACTACGACCGTTAGCCACCAGGCAGTCACAAACAGCTTCGACCTGCTGTCTCTGGATGCCCACAGCCCAGCTCCCTCGTCTGGGCCGGCGGCAAGCCCCAAGGGCGGCCTGTACCCAGCGCCTCCCGCCCTCCCACCTGCACCGCCTGCAGCAACTGCGACCCCAGAGTCGGCCGTGTCTGGGTGGAAGACCTTCCAGGGGGCAGACCCACCAACCCCATCCACCCCAGGTTCGGAGTGGTCGGCGTTTCAGTCAGGCGGCAGTGACCCTTTTGCAGCCAAGGTGCCAGCGGCTGTGTCAACATCCAAGCCACAAGCCGAGGCCCCCCGCCACTCCGGGGACATGATCGCTGGAGCACAGGAGCCGCACATCGTCCCGATCGGCTCCTCCCCGCTGGTGGGCGACCTGATCTCCGCCGATGTCCCTGGCACAAAGGACCGACCAGGGCCGCCAACAGGATCCAAAGAAAAGGCGACAGAGGACATCCTCAAATTATATGACCAGGGCGCAGGCGACCCCAACGCCCCAAAGATGCTTCCTCCAAATTTGGGCTTGCCAATGGGCGCCCAGATGCTGCCTCCGAATATGGGGATGCCCATGGGGCCCATAGCTGTGCAACAGCAAGCGTACATGACGCCCGGCAGCCATGTGCCAGTGGTGCAGGGGGCATATGGCGCATACGGCTTGGTGGGAGCGATGCAGCCCCCCATGGTTGCAGTGCCACAGGGCATGGTCACGCACCCAGGCATGGTGCCCTTGGCACCTGGGGCAGCCGGGTCACCCTACCAGTATGGGTACATGCAGCAAGCTGGAATGCAGGTGCAGCAGTTTGGGGGATATTCCAGCCAAGCAGGGGGGCAAGGGATGTAGGAGTTTAGCTGCTGACGGAAGCGTCTTGGGGTGCAAGGGCCTGAGTGGCTGTGCATCTTTGTATGCTCAAGAGTGCCATTCATGGAGTTGCAATTCGATTGGTGGGCGCACTTCAGTGCCCTGTCGCATGCGGCAGGGCGGGGCTGTTGTGGCGTTTGTTGTGGTCATGGCGTGCTGTGAGCGCAACGTGAGGGACGTTGTATGGGAGAGGAGCTGGAGAGCTTGTTTCGTGGATGGGTGAGACTGGATCGGCGCGAAGGGATGTCTGCCGTGCACCAGGTCATTGGGAGTGCGTTTTGCTTGCAGCGTGCCGGCTGTTGCTGTTGTAACGTTAACATCCTTCACGTTCAAGCCCCGTTATCGCTGCCAGTACAGCTAGACTTCAGAAAGGGCGGCCAGCACCCAGTGCCCGACACAGACATTGAATCCCCACACCTTCGCCTCTTTCAAGTCCCCCAGGCAGGTGGAGCCCACATTCTGTTCACCAACCCGTTGGTTGCACGCAAATGTCGTCACCACATTACATGCAGCAGTCGCTGCTGCACACCCTATTTGTATGCAGTTCGTCACCGACCAAATCAATACAATCCCATTGAACTCGAACTGATCATCTGATGCCTACGCTCCAGCATGGATCCCACTGTGCCTTTTCGGTGGCCCAGAGCATTTCCCGCAATGCCACCGACCCACAATCCCACCCTACCCGGCAAAGGCGTGCCGCAGCCGTTCCTATCATTGCCGTCCATCCCTACGCGCCCCCGCCTGTGGCAGGCCATATCACCATTCGGGCGTCGCATCCGTGGCGCTGCCTTGAGGCCCTGCGGGCCCGGACGAGCCGTGGGCATGCCGCCGGCCGCCCTGCTGCGCCAGGCGACTGCGGATGTCTCTCAGCAGCAGCTTGGCCCTCTCCCTGACGGCTCCGCCAATGTCCAGCAACCGCGTGCAGAACTCCTCGGCGTCGGCGAAGTTCCCTCTCGCCTGTGACAACACGGTCGCACTCAGCAATCTCAGAAACTGGATGACGCCCCCCAACCGTGTTTGGAAAAGAAGGTCATTTCAAACGTGTCCAGCGCGTACTTCAGCCACGTTAACCCGCTCAACATGGGGCATCCGAATGCTGCATTACATTGCGCCATGAGATATTGACAATATCGCTGCCTTCAAGATGGATACTATTCCCAAAGCACGATCTAACTGGACATCACGTTTTGGAGACGCTTTCACCTTTCCCCCACAAGGCCTCGTGCGCCAATTCCCAACTGACGGTTAAGGACATGTAATTCGGCTTCTTCAACAGGGCGTGCTTCGTTTCGAGAGCCGCAGGAGGGCCGTGCCCAGCACTCAAAACATATGCACCCACCCCTGTGCCACTGTTTGACACCGGCGTGCTCCTGGTGTGTGCTTTGAATTACTGCAAAGTGCGCCAGTGGCAGATTTGCACGAAAGGGTGTTTTCACTACACGCCCACTTCCGCTACGAGAATGCACAGGACCCACCATGCATCCCTGAGAAGAGCCCGTCCGATGCTTCTCCCATTACCACTACTATCAGTTCATTCGAAACATGATTACTATTCATGTGACCAGCAGTAACCGCCAGACGAAGAGCAGGTTGATAGAACGAACACCAGTACCATTCACTGACAGTAAAGTAGGCAGTGCCATACCGCTCTTCCGCCAGTTTGTTTCTTTTTTTGGTGATTCCAAGATTCAGAAAGAAGTTCTGTCACGCTCTGTCAGTGTAGTCCAGGAGAATGTGCGCACCTTGTGGTAGTTGGCTAGAAACAGCATGGCATCCACCGCATCCGTGCTCGCCTGCTCCTGGCCCCTTTGCGCGTCCAGTCGGTCCAGATTGATCTTGAAGTAATGAGCCGCCTCGTCGTCCTGGCCACACTTTTTGTGCAGCCGAGCCTGCAAGAGAGACGAACGCAGGAAAAGTGTGTCATGTTGGTTATACTATTTAAATGCAATGTGACAGATGTATCCCAGCTCCAAACCTGTTGGGTGTACTCCAAACCCCTGGTCACTGAGCCAAGACAAGGGTCCAATGTCCACTGTTGCAGCCACGGCCATGGCGCACACAACCTTGAAAACTGTCATGCACTTCGTTGCAAATAAAGCACATGGATGAGACCACATCTGAATCGACAGGTGATGCGCAAAGATGCCCTTTGTGGGCAGTCACAAGTAATCGTCCCCTCGCGCGTTCAAGGTCGAACACAAAATGCAGGCCTAGTGATGTGACAGCGAGAAGGTATCCTGAATACGACTCGCTTATGCAAAATAGCAAAATAGCAGTGGTCGAGAGCTACCACCATGGCCCCTTCGTGTGTCGATTAAGCCAAGGCTCAAGCGAGGCTTTCCCAAAACAGCGTGCCGGTGATACACAAACAAACAATAGGGGATCCGTTGGACGAACTGACAGCCATCGACATGTAATCAAGACCAATGCCGACATATAGCACTGTTGCAGCATAACAGCCTCCACAAGGCAGCATCCTCTGGGCGTTTCACTCACCAGCATGTTCACCGCCACTCCTTCCCGGTCATTGTGTGCAACGGCACGCCTATAACATCGAATGGCGGCATCCGGCATGTTCAGCAGCTCGCTTGAGTAGCATGTGCCCATCGCCGTCCACATGCGTGCATCATGTGGCCTCAATTGCGTGGCCCTGGCCCCATCAAGTGACAAACCAGCGTCCATGAGACATTCATTGTTCAGTTAATGGGGCTGCCCACACACGTCTGAACAGATCGCAACGTTGTTTTAACAGCAATCTTCAATTTGCTGCTCCTGCATGTTGTCTACACACAGGGATTCGGCAGGCTTCTGGCGTTAGACGATGGCTGTCCTGCAGTTGGTAAAATTGCT